AGAAATTTTAAAAATACTCTTAAACAAAAAAGAAAGAAATGTGCTCAGCATCTCACTCCCGGAGACAGATTAAAACAACTGAGTGAGCACAATTCTAGATGATTTCTTGATATCAGTATATATTAATGCATTTTCTAAAATGAAAAATTGGGAATGCCATAAAAAATAACTGAGGAAAGCTACTGTGTTCTTTTCAAGTATAGAAGACAACATTCTTCAGGGCCCAGTGCTTGTATCCAGTCCCTCCATCAGCAGACTCAGGAAAATTCCAAAACCCTTCTATGCCTTAGTTTCTATGTCTCTGTAGAAAGTTAAACTTCTATGAGATTTCAATCTGAACTAGCTATTTTGAATACAAAAGAAATCATTGTAAAATTTAATTCTATGATTTCATAGTATTCATAGTGTATAAGTAACCCCAATGTTGTTTTAAAGTTCTTTGAGCTTAAATCTCTGAGGTTTGGGATTTATTTTGGCTATGATTTCCGAGGTTTCAAGCTGCAGTCAGCTGGCCTCACTGTTTCTTGGTCTGTGGTAAGACAGAAAAATTGTGGCACAAGGACATGGTGGAGAAAGATTCTGGTGACTCATACGTTGACAGGAATGGTTTGGACTGTATTCTAGCTCTTCAAAGTTTGGTCTGTGGACCTGAAGTAGCACTGGCATCTTCCATGAGCTTGTAGGAAACACAGAGATTAAGCCATATTTTGGACCTACTGAATCAGAATCTACATTTTAACCAGATCCCCTGTCGATGGGCGGGCACATTTTAGTTTGAAAATCGGTGAACTCCATGACTGACAACAGTCACTTAGACTCACAGGGATGGGTATCATGGAGAACACAGTTTAACATTAGACTTCTAGGTTATAACTTGTGTCATCTTGGAAGAGAGGGCTTCTAAACACTGGAGTTCATTTTTTGTGTCTTAGTCCTTTCATGTGCAAAATAGATGGTAAACAGTAATTTCTTCCTGTGGTTATGTAAGGATTGCCAAGGACTGAGAATAAGCATTTTAATACAGTACCTGTTGTACCTTTAACACGGGTACTCACCCAATGAGTAGACATTTCCTACAAACCCTTTCTGTGTATGTCAGATTTATGCTGGTACTCTGAATGGAGCAATAAACAAAACAAAATCCTTACTTCCAAGAAACTTACACTCTGACAAAAGAGACAGGCAGTAAAAGAGTGGACCGATTTTTTAAAGAGAGGGAAAAATCTGTCACATATTCATATGTGCCATGATGTCAACATCAGCAGGGCTATTAAAGACAGGTAATTCAGCAAATATTATCAAAGGAAACAAATGAGCCAGTATGTGAATTCAGTGTTATCAAATTAATATCTGGAGCAAAGCTCCAGACACACAGCTGAGCATTTTATGTGCACCCACGTTTCCGGAATCCTCTTGCACCAGAAAAGTACAAAAACTTGCTGGAATATAGATATCGAATGGAAATGAGACATTTAAGGCAAAAGTTTTGTGGAAAAATTTTTTGTTGCTGTTATGTAGTTGTTGCAACAACCTTCCCTACTCCAATTTGCAGGTTGAAAAGTTATTATTCTTTAGCCTGATTCAGAAACAAAAACAACAGCCTCGCAAAACTAATAACTCAGCGTTTGAGAAAACATGGCAATTCTACATCTCCCACAATTTAATCTTAGCATAGATAAAATCTAAAATTTTGATATATTAATATGTTGATGCTAATAATACTCCTATTTTCCCTTATAGAGATAAAAAATTCCATACACTTTTTACAGATGTTTAACTTAGCAATTTAGCTACAATTCAATCTATACTTTTGCTTAAGAATATCAGTCCATGAATTTAGTAGATATTTTTTCTTTATTTCTCTTTCCCATACAACGAATATGCAAACAAATAACTGCTACATGATATCAGTGGCATGAAATAGCTTCTGTTTTCCTACATAGATGGAGTATCTTAATAATGGGAAAATGATCTCACATTTTAACGTGCTTTGATATAAAAAGTGCCATCTAAAGAGGAAGTTATTATTTTTAGTTATAATACTCTAAAAAAGGGATTTGCTATCTCAATGGCTGCTGAAACTTAACTGCAGAATTGCTTATAATGCTACAATCAGTGAATGCCAAATTCAATAAAAACTTCATCCGGCATTCACACTGAGAAGACCCACATGTGCCTTTAATTTTTTTTTTTTTTAATTTTCTGGGCTTCCGGCCCAGAAATTGAATGGAAATTTTGTTTAAACCTGCTCCTGTGTATCAACTTTTGGTAAACATCAAGGTTTTCGTTAACTCGTTATGCTTCGCATTTTGGGTAAAATGTTATAAAATGATGCCTGTCTGAATGCGTATGTTTTTATACTTTCACCTGTTCTGACTAGGAAATGGGCTCAGGCTCAAAGTTCATCAGCTTTCTTGCAAATTTTAGCGTGCCCTCACCTGCCTTCCACAGCCATAATATTCAAAATTCCATTAAATCCCTTTGCAGTGCTAATCAGCTCTCACCATCACAGGCGATGTATTCTGAGTTTGGAAATGACTAATTATTTGGAGAGGGCTGTGAGGGGTTAAGGTTTAGATTTCTGTCTAATTCAAAGCAGCTTTTCTCCTGTCTTTATTGCTGTCATTTTGCTGCCTGGGGTCATCTCCCTCTCCTTGATAAGAAAGCTCTTTCCCTTCCCATTGGACAGAGCATATATGTATGCATTAGGGGACTGCATTAAGAGGCATCAACTTGAAAATATTAAAGAAGAGACGGGCCTGTGATGGATGTGGGTACGGCAGTAATTGCACCTGCTAGGTGCAAGGCATGAGCATAATTTGCATGTAAAGTTCTTTCAGTTCCTTCCAGAATACACCAGTTCTACCCAATAAAACATTTTGTCACACTCGGGGGGCTTGCCAACACGTTCCCAGATTGCAAGCAAAAAGATTATTTACAGTAACCAATAACACCTGAAACGACCATAAACAATCCTTTCCGTACCTGTTCTATTTTTTTCCCCTCGTTTGCTAAGTACAGAGACCTTAAGGAGTCCAAATTTACTGCAGTTTAATTCTGATGGGAGAAAGGACATTATTTTTATTTATAGCACCTTGCTCTATCTATGCCTGCCTACCCCATCTCTTCAAAACATAAATAATTCCAACTATTTTTAAAAATCCAGCTACTACTCATACAAGGATGAGCAGTTTCCTGATAAAGTGAAAGATTGGGCAAAAGGAACCAACATCAGAGGAAGTTCCCTTAGGTACTCTGGAACCCTGCTGAGTGCTCCTGGACAAGACAGCGTCCTTCCTGAAATAGTTCCTGGTGCGGGGGGGGGGGGGGGGCACCTGTCCCACTCACTGAAACAGGATTTGTGCCAAGGGAAGTGCTGGAGGCACGCGTGTGGGCTTCATCGTGGGGGGCCGTGCCTGCTTACAGCTGGATTTACCTCCTGTCTTTTAAACTCCCTCAACTTTCCTCAGAAGTTCAATTCCATTCCGAACATGTCTTGGGAAAATGAACAAGAACGACAAAGAACAGTCAGAACAGTCATTTCCGTGGAAACTGGTTTTCAGACCTGATCTGCCAGGGCAGCTGCCCTCCCTACAGCACAATTTTATACTCACGTAGGAATCTCTAGGGCAAGGAGGGGAAGGGAAGCGGGGAGTGGGAAGGAGGACAGGGGAGGGGAGGGAAAGCGGGAGGAAAGAACTAGGGAAGGGAGGCAAGGGGAGAAAAATCCACAAACTTGAGCTAACTCAACATCACTAGGTGTTTTAATATCAAGGGAAAACAAGTAAAGATAACATTCTTTTTTAATATCAAAGCATTATAAAATATAAAATCTCACCCACAGGGCTATTGTTAACTGTACCCTGAGATATCCTTCTGGAAATTGTGTATATAGATATGGAGCATACAGATATAATTGAGTATATAGATATAATTGCCCCTTTCAAACTATCAGATGTGCGTATCGCTTTATCGTGAACGCATACATACATGTCTCGGCGTCTGCTCAAGGAACACAAAATTCCACAGACTTTTCCCTTACCAACTTCTTTCTCTTAATCCCACTTGAAGGTCATTACGTCAATGCCTAGACGGACCTCCCTCCCTGTGGCTGCTATATCACAGCCCAGCGTCTTCTCCACCCTATTTTAATTAGTCACTCCCCTGGTGACGGACCGGTAATATTTACAACTGTTTTTCCACTTACAAGTACAGTTACATCCTTTGCACAGGTACTAGGAATCTTGCCTACAGGTTCAGCTAAAAGGTTTGGGGCTGAAACAGGTTTGTGTTCCAGTCCAGATCCATTAACTGACCATAATCTGTATGTACTTAAGCAAATGCAGGCGATAAGGTCTGTTTCGTAGCGTCCCTGTAAGAGTACAGTTGCGCTTATTCCTGTCACTGACTCATTGAGACCTCAGACAAATTAATTTCTTCCTCACTCTTCCAGGGAATAATAATAGATGCAGGGTTGCTCTGGGGACTGCATGAACTAATTCATTTAAAGAGCGTGGTCCACTACCGCCAGAGAGCGGAACCTTCCTAATGATCTGCTTTAAAGATAAGGCCGGCGATCTGAGCGCCTGTGTCCGCGCCGCCGCGGGCTTTCCTAGAAGTGGGTTCCTGCCCTGAACCGGTGCTCCGCGCCCCGGGGTGCGGCGCCGGCCCGCAGCGGGGATCGCGCCGCCCCGGCCTCCGAGGC